CACGGACGAGGAGGAGGAGGAGGAGGGCGCCCCCCCCCTCACCGTGGGGCTGCTGCAGGCACAGATCCAGGAGCTGCGACGCAGGCTCCTGCAAAAGGACTCGTACAAATGCCACATTTGCCTGGTAAGGGCGGCCCATCCCCCGCCTTGGTACCACCCCTCCTCCTGGCCCGGGGCCCAGGATGCAAAATGTGGACCCGGAGTGGACCTATTAGGACCAGGCTGGTTCGCCTGGGGGTCTGAACAAGGCTGCTGCAGGCACAGATCCAGGAGCTGCGACGCAGGCTCCTGCAAAAGGACTCGTACAAATGCCACATTTGCCTGGTAAGGGCGGCCCATCCCCCGCCTTGGTACCACCCCTCCTCCTGGCCCGGGGCCCAGGATGCAAAATGTGGACCCGGAGTGGACCTATTAGGACCAGGCTGGTTCGCCTGGGGGTCTGAACAAGCAAGTCCATGCAGCTGGGTCCCCGTGTGGAGCAGGTAGCAGTGGAGGTGCTGTAACACCCTCCCCACCCCCATCCCTGCGTGGGACCCAAACATGCCCCCTCTGCCAGGGTCTGGCATCATTCCGGATACTTGAGTAGCCAGCGCTCCCACCTGCTCCCCACAGCGCCCCCTGCTGGGAGAGTTTGGGATGGACCAGTCAGGAGCTCCCCCCACAGACAGTGCTCCAGCCCTGTGCCCCACAGTGCCCCCTGCTGGGCAGGGCTGGGGTCGCAGTAACCAGGCGCCCCTCGCCCAGCAGTGCTCTCTCCCTGACCTAAATAGCGCCCCCTGCTGGGCGAGGCTGGGTTGGAATGGCAGGGAGCACCCCCCCCACCACCAGCGCTCCCAGCTGCTCCCCACAGCGCCCCCTGCTGGGAGAGGTGGGGCTGGCATAGCCGGGAGCTCCCCATTTCACAAGAGGAGCTCTGTACTGCAGAAGTGACAGTCTGGCCTAGTGGGTGTTGTAGGCACAGTTGAGGCTGGACTGTAGGAACGTGTATCAGGGTCCATCATGCCACAGGATCCCAAAGTTCCTTGCCAGCTTGCCATTGTGTTCATGTGGCACCGAGGTGCGGCAGGGGGCCGGCTGCACACAGCGCCCCCTACTGGGAGAGGCTGGGGTGGAAGGGCCGGGAGCGCCCCCCACCACCAGTGCTCCCGCCTGCTCCCTGCAGTTCTTTCCCAACGCTCAGTCTCCTTCCTTTCCAGGACTCGTACTCCGTGCCGTTGACTTCGATTCAGTGTTGGCACATCCATTGTGAGCAGTGCTGGCTCCGGACCCTGGTAACGCACTCCTCCCCCTCCTGCCCCGGCTCCATTATCCGCTCCAGAGCCTGAAATACACGGCCCAGAGCCAGCCCTTTAACTCCCCCTTTCCCCGCCAGCTCTCCTCCCCCGAGTCCCTTCTCCGAGGCTGTGAGCCCCAGTCCCTAGCCCTCTCTTCCCTTCGGGTATGTCTACACTACCCCGCTAGTTCGAACTAGCGGGGTAATGTATGCATACCGCACTTGCTAATGAAGCCCGGGATTTGAATTTCCCGGGCTTCATTAGCATAAGCGGGGAGTCGCCATTTTTAAATCCCCGCTGCTTCGAACCCCATGCAGCGCGGCTACACGGGGCTCGAACTAGGTAGTTCGGACTAGG